CCCGGCCGCTCGCCCCGCCGGGTGTGGCGACTGCGGAGCCGGGAGGCGCTGGTGGCCAGGTGGGGCAGATCGGTGGCCCCGCGTCCCTGCGAGGGTCGGTGTGGGGGGAAAGGACGTGGGCGGCTTGTGCGATAGCTATAAATACCGTGTCACCTCAGCAGTGTGTGACAGGCGCTCTCGTGTGTTTAAAAGTCGCTTTTTCGAGTGCAGTGCGGACACAGGGATCTGTGTCTCGATGTGCATTCGTATTTAAAGCTTCGGTTTGTTTTTACCTATTTATTTATTTGGGGTTTTTTTTCGGTTTTTTTTTGGGGGGGGCTATGGGAAAGTATAAGCTTAGTTCGTGAATTTTTTAATCGAACACAGAAAAATAAGGAAAAAGGCATTTATCATGGTGGAGATGCACACAGCTAAATTAATCTTTCTAGAAATGTACATTGCATTGATTTCTTAAGCATGTCGGGATGGAAGGGATGGTTTAGATGATTCATTGCTGTTTTTCAGTACATTTGCTAGCACTAAATCTGAAGAAGCTTATCAAAAGTGTTAGAGCTCTGATTTTAATCCAAGTGCGAAAGGGATGGAGTTAACTGTTCACACTGAACCTTTATCCCTGAAATAGTTTTTACAGCATGTCACAGCATATGCTGACATTTGCAGGGCTGAGTGCTTTTGTGATGTTAGGAAATAAGATTTCTGAAGTTTTTCAGCTGTATGTCTTCAGTCAGTCCTGAAGATTTTTGTTAAATATTTTCCACTGATGGGGATGGGAGTGGCATAGTTTAAGACAGCTTGATTTGAGGACACTGATAATTGATTTTATTTATTCTGTGTTGTTAGTAGCAGTATTTTGAAAAATAAACCCTCAACAGATGGTTATTCTGATTATGAGAACTTGTTGGGTCTCAGTGTACTTTATACTGGTGTCACTCGCAATTTCATGTGTCATTAGCAGTATTGACTAATGACTCCTTTGTGTCTGTTGCCCATTGTGTCAATGCAGCAATGGAGCATGTGCACCATTTCTGTATTGAAATGTATTAGTGCATTTTAGTAGAGAAATAATTACCATTTCATGATTGCCATCATCTTCAAAAGCACATCTTTATTCCATTCTCTCCCTCAATTTATATGCAGCTGATCTGATTTTTTGCAAAATTTTTGAGCTAGTAGACTGTTTACTTTGTAAATAAACACTGAGAAAGCTTGTCCTTCTGCTTTGGATCACCTTTTATTTCCTGCTAGAATTAGGTTTAATAAGGTTCCTTCTCATACCAATTACTTGCTTAAAAACCTGGGAAAGAGATTAGGCCCAATTTCCCCTATTTCAATGGGAGTTTTATCAGGAAAGGGACTGAGAGGTTTGGTTTTGTACGTTGGGGAACAATAGGATTTTAATTAAATAAACTCTGAAAACTAATTTACATCTCTGTAAGAAATAAAGCACTTTCTGAAAGTATTTGAGTATATCTCATTGTGGGGGCAACACAGAGTCCATTCATATGCTATTTTCAGTGATTCCCAAATCCTGAAATTATTTGGAAGGCTATAATGTCTGTTGTTTTAGTTTTTAGTGCCGTAATTTGTATATTGGTATGCTGTGTTTTACTGCTCAAGGTAGACATTATTCAGCCATTTGGAGCAAAGGTAAAGGCTTGGACTTGTTTTAATTAAGATATATTGGAAACCTGGAAAACACATTACTTTCTAAAATATGTTTTCAAGCCAGTCATGATTTCTCATTTGAGTCCCAGTAGTATGACTTCACTACAGTGATTGTTGTTCTGATGACTTGCTATGGGAGCTGATCTAATCAGAAAAGAATTGCTACAATATAGGCTTTGAAGAGGGAGTGCCTTTTCTCTGAATTTCTCCGTTTTGTAAACACCTCCTTTAGTAAATTTCTTGCTCAAAGGTGAATTACATTGGCTTTATAAGACAAGCTTCAATCTATAATTTTCATGCTGATTGTTCTTTTTTTTTTTTTTTTTCTTTTTACTGTCTGCAGAATGCTTCATACTCATCTAGGCCATTATCAGGGTGCCAAATTATCTATGTCCCAGCTGTTGAGTACTGTAACTAGCAGAGTCAGCTGTACAAAATTCATTGCCTGTCTTGGAAGGCTTGGGATCGTATGATGCCGCATCATTAAGACGTTCAGGCAGTTTCATTTAGGAAGATAAAATCTGACCTTTTTAAACATAGGAAAGTGAAATTTACTCTTCCTCTGTTTCTGTTGCCAAAGTAGGCTGTGGATCTTGAAGATCATGCAAGACCAAGTGCCTCGTTGTTTTACAAGTTTATCCTTTACAAAGCCAGATATTTGTGTGTCTCCAAATTCTGTCTGCTGATCATGTCTCTGGCTGTGGCAGTAAATAATTAGGCAACTGTTTGCTAAATCTGACATACCACAGAAGTGCTGTTTGCTATGGGAGAAGAGTGTTGTTTTCTAATCCCTGGTCAGCTCAGTAGCTGGCTGTCAAATTTTTATTTTTTTCTTGATTAGTAATTATTTGGCAGTATTTCTAAAGCATTTTGATGGAAAAAAAAGTCATATTATGTCAGATGTTATAGAAATCAGGTTGAATTCAGCTACTTATTCAGGGGAAAAAACCTGCTTCTTTGTTTGTAGTACCTCTAAAAATTCAAAGGCAAAGCCTTTATTATGAACATGGCAATAAAACATGTAGTATAGTTTATCTGAAGTATTTGACATATTTCACATCTTGTTTGTGGCTGAATAGTAGCATGAGACTTCATACAAATATTTGTTAATATAACTCAAGATTCAACTTTTGCTCAAGAACTGTATGTAAGTTACCTGGGAGGTTGTAAAGGACTTCAAAATTATTCTTGGTACTCTGTAAGTTACCTCACGGTTGCCTGGGAACAAAATGTAATAAAATTGTTAGCTGTAGCCCTTTTGATAAATAAGAAAATGTCCAATAGTATTTAGTATACTTTTGATTTTTAAAACATTAAATGCCACCTCTGTCATATGGCATAG